AGAATTCACATGTCTTTGTCACATAACAGAATATATACACATATATACGTATATATGTATGTATTTGTTGTGTAAATTTTCACACGCTAGATGGAGTTAGAGATGAACAGTTTCTCGTATTCAAAAATCACACAACTGGTTATACTCGTATATACAAGTACACCTAATAGGCACAATATATTTATTGTAATACTGTTGTGAAGTGCTAATTTTTGGAAGGTGGGGTTTGCTCATTGCACCCACCAATAAATTGAAAGAAACATAAGTTATCATCAGGCGAAAGCGATTGGGCCTGTAAACTCGGATTTTCCTTTCCTTGACCGTGCTGCAGTTTCATGCTGCCTATGGATGGACATTCGTTCAATCGAATTGACGATAAACTCGATTTGATAAGAGAGAAAGTCTAGAGCGAATGAGAGAGAGAGAGAGAGAGAGAGGGGGGAAGAGGGGCCTGTCATTATAGACATACGTCTCATATAAACAGAAACGACGAATTAATTCGTAAAGTTGCGCGCGATCTTGTCAGACCACTTGAAAATTGTAGAGCGTAATTTAGCGACGGAGGTGCCTTGCACCGCGCACAAAGTGGCGCGTAACTTGTCGAGATTCGACAAAAGAAAGGGGGGAAGAAGAGCAGGTGGCGAGACAGCGATAGAGAGACATTCTCTCGCGGAAGTCATTACGCCACGTAATTTCGCCATGTAAAATTGCGGCGCAAACTAACCGCGCGCGTACAGCGTAAGATGTTTACACCGCTCGGGTGAGATTGATACGGTATCGCGCGCCGCCCGAAATTGCCTCCGACAAGTTGGCTAACGAACTTACCGCCGTGATTAGCGCGCGTACTCGTTAACGTTTAACGCAACGAGGGCCGGATGATGGAGCCGGGCTCCGGGCGTCGCGGCTAATTCGTAGACCCGATCGGAGACCGAGTAGACGCCGCGGGATCCACGGGGATCGGACATAGCGAGAGGACAGACAGGCAGAAAGAAAGGGAGTGAGTGAGCGAGGCGAGCCGCGAGGAGGAGCGGAGGGAGAGACAGAAAGGTCAGTAGTCGGGCAAGAGAAGCGAGTGCGTGCGTGACGGGCGGACAACGCGGCCCAAGAGAGTGATTCAGAAAGAGAGCGAGCGAGAGAAGAGGGGGGCTCAGGCGGCGGGAGGGAGAGGAACCCGCGGGTGGGAGGAGAGCGAGAGGAGCGAAAGAGGACGCGAGAGAGGAGGACGGCGAATGGAGCACGGACTGCAACCGAGTATCGTTAACCGGCGGGCATACAAGAGAGCCTGTTCTCCAGGCCCCCGGCTGGTAATCACACGAGTCGGCGACTGTTAGTATTGTGCCCGAGCTCGAGTACGAGCGGACTCGTCGCGCGGCGCAACAAAAGCGAGGCGACGTCATGATCTCCGTGCCGTTCGGCGATTCGTGCGGGCGTTCCGTTCTCCAAGACTGAATCACGTGCGTCCGCGCCGCGTATTGTTGTCGTCGTCGTTGTTTACACGAGGCTCTCTCCGCTGAGGGACACCGACGGCCCGGAAAGCTGACTCGAGAGGTACGTTCGCGACGTTCCCGGGCGGTGAGTTTCCTCAGCGAGAGGAACCGAACCCGCGATCGGGCAGACCGATTCAACGCGATCGGCAGCGGTGCCGTAGATCGACCGCTGCCGCGCTCGTCGAGCAACCTCGAGGCGCGGCGAATGGCGAACCGATGGCGAAACGATTCGGTCCGGTAACGGCGCGATTTGTGCGCGAGCTCGCTGGAATGCTAACGGTTTTACTGGCCGCCATGCTCGCTCCAATCTAATCAGACGAGGCAATTTTTTTCTTGAATTGTTCAGACGCGTGTACCTCGGTTCCGTAGCTTTCTTCGAGTCGCGATAAGACGCGCCTGACGACCACTGATAACGTTGACGGGGAAACCGGGTCGAGCTCGACCTCGAGTGACGCTCGTCGGAATCGTTTTGTCGTTTTCACGCTTAGCCCGCGCGCGGTTTTTTTTTCCCTGTCTGCCTGTCTACGCCCACAGGTGTGTCACGATCGTTACGGCAGATCGCAACACGGTTCACGGCCTCTGGCGCCGCGTTGCGTGGCGATGGAAAGATCCGCCGCGCCGTGTTTTGGCGCTCTTCAAATTGGCGAGCGTCTCTTTTTAAGAGCCCGCAAATGGCGAACGTTTATTTTGCCAATTATTCGCCGCGCCGGTACGCGTGTTTGTTAAACGGATGTCAATTTCTAAATATTTATTGTCACGTCGGTGAGACGCGCGGCCCCGAGAAAGTTTGTACAGCCATTTCACTATAATATGCGAAAATGTGACCGGCATTGTCAATATTTACCGACAATGCGCGCGGAATATGTTTCCGTCCGCCATGCTTGTCCCCCGCGTTATTTCTAGCGTCGACAATTCTTCGACGCTCGTCAGCGCTGCTGCGATAATTTAGCGCGCAATTTATCAATGAATATCGATAATCCCGGGAGGTCCTTTCTTTCGCCGGGCAGAAGAGCCGCTTCTCGCGTCCTCGAGCGCATATCGCTGGGCGGATGTTTTCCTTTATTTTCGCAGGCGCGGGTGCGCAGGTGCACGCGTACGCGCGAGTCCTTGGGCGTACGAGAGTGATGTAAGATGAATGAGACGATACGCTCGCAATGACAAACGCGTCCGCGGCGCGTTCGGTTGGGGAAAATCGAAAGGTACGAGAATAATGCGCTTTAATAATAGCATTTTCTGCGTCGCGTTTAATAACAGAACCGTTTCAGCGCTCGCGCGGTGCGTCTTCAATTTTGTATAAGCCGCTAATCCACGGTCCGGAATCGCAATGAAGTATCGTACATTGACAGAAAAGAAGAAAAAAAAAACAGTTGCAGTTACCACAATCTCGCTATAATTTATAGTCATTTTAGGAGCCAACCACATTTTTCTAATTCTTCCAACTACGTAAGTTATGGTTGACCTAGCAATGTATTATATAGTTCTCATAGACACAATATTGGTCCATGCAACTTACGATATGGTTGTCACAAACCAAAAACGTGTACACGCACCGGCATAAATGTTGTCCCTATCCTTGTGAGGTGCACGCACACAACTAGAGTTGTGTGCGTGCACCTCACAAGGATAGGGACAGCATTTATGCCGGTGCGTGTACTATAAATATTGTAATAACAACCACAAGTAAAATTTCGAATAGCTGTATGTAATGGTAATAATCGTATTTATATTAGAAGTAATATTCCCTGCTTTTTATCATATATACATCGCTTTGCACTCATAATGAATAGTACAAGGAAGCACCTTTCAAAGAAAAGATAAGTAATCTTATACAAATTAATGTATAAACTTATCCGTATCTATAACACTCTATGCGGTTTTCTTCTCACGAGAGAGTCTTGTACCGCGCGTCCCTCTAGTGAGGATATTCACTTCACTTTTGTTTACCATGTGATTAGTAAGGTGAATGATATAAATGTAGTTTAATTTGTTTTAATTGACTATTGTTGTGATTGTATTTACTATATAAAAATAATTAACTCATTCATTACCTGGATATTTTAACAGAGTGATAGTTAAAAGCTTATATTTCATAGTAAATTTGTTAAATAGTTGGCACCGCTGTGTCTGTATGGTTGCTATTACTAATATTAGAGTAATAATTACTACAAAAATGATGTTCCTGACTATAATTACTTTACTATGCAATTATAGTTTCAACTACTACACTGAAAAAAATTTCTGGTTGAATATGGACGAATCAGATAATTCCTTTAGGATTTACCAGAATTCCTTTAGGATTTACCAGAATTTCTGTAGGATTACAGGAATTCTGGTAAATCCTAAAGGAATTATCTGATTCGTCCATATTCAACCAGAAATTTTTTTCAGTGTACGTATTTTTCTATCAGTGTAGTTTTCAGAATTGCGCTTGACACACACACAATTGTGCTGGGAATACGGTAATGCTCTACTTTTGAACGTGTTTCACACGAGCGACATTGCGTCCGCCGGATTTCGACCTCGCCCGCGAGAGTTGCTAATCGCGTGCAAAATCATTCAACTTACGCCGATCAATTATGCATGCATATTAAGTCTGGTTACGCTGCACTTGCAAATATTCTCGCAACCCAGAGAACGTACGACTCGTTGCCCAGCCTGCATTTTAATCGGAGTCTACCGCACGTGATGAACGCAGAAATGCGTCGAAGGACGAAAGCTAGCGCCAGACTATGCGCGACTCGCGATTCTTGATTCGCAGAAATTCGTCAGACATTCGTTATTACACAATGTAGAACGTTTGCAAAACGACGCTAACTGGTAGATTCTAATTGAAGAGATTTATTGCGGAAAATATTACTTCAGCCAGGGTTTGAACCTGGACTTCCCTTCACTCTAGGCGGGCGTCTCGTCAATTCGACCACTGTGGCATGTGGTGATATTTATCGCAATAAACAGTACTAATAAAATTCGTTATTACCGAGGGGGAAACCGCTGACCAAAATCTTGTACACCAATGCCCACTAATGCCCAGCGGGCATTACTTTATCTTATTTTATAATATCTTATCTCCCAGCAAGGCCTAATGCCCAAAAAATGCCTAGTAATGCCCAGTAATGCCGCAAACCTGTACACCACAATGCCCTCAGCGGTTTCCCCCTCGGATAAAAATGGTATAAACATCTGACTAGGATATCTGACCATATCTGCTTTGATATACTTATAAATAGATGCATTAAAAGTTGGATATTCTGATAAAATTTTACCATATCCTACATTATTTGATACAATTAGATAAAATTGGATATATAGCGTTATTTTGCGTATTTTTTCCCCGGGCACACTATTCGTGATTTGCAGTTTGTCATTCGTAATTTGTTATTTGTCGTTTCGTTCGCGTTAACTTGGACAACTTTTAACATTTACCTGTCGTTACAGGACTCGTTACATCACAAGTCTATACAATCAGGCTAGTTTGAATGTTAGTAAAAAAAGCACTGTTTTAGTCGGGAAACCGCTCGGCTAGCGAATCACTGCGAATGGCGAATCGCGCGTAGTGTACCGCTAGCTTAAGGAATCCCCCGCGAAGGTTGGTGAATGCGTGCGGGAGAACAAAGAACCTCGGACGGAAACGGGGCAGCTTCTCGCTCCGATCTTCTTTGTTTTTAATCTCGATGCCTCTCCGTTATTAACGCAAAACTCTTTTTCCGTCCTGTTCGCTTCGCAATCTCCCTCGCCGCAAAGTCCGCTAATCCGCAGACAGATGATCATTAATTTAATTACGAATTGCTACTTTAGTAACAAACGCATAATATGAAGCGCTGTTACATAAAATGTAATATAATCTGGCTGCGAATATCGTGAGATTTTAATGCCTTTGGAGAGTCGCGCGTTTCGCGGGATAAAATTGTCGCTCCTTTTTATATCCTTGCGGAAAAGAGGCTACGGTAGATATACGTGTCTAAAATCGAGCAAATGCAAACGTGCCACGAGACTATCTTCAGACAGTTGTGTTGATAGCGCATCGATCGTGGCCCGAGGGTTACGTGGGTTCGAGCGACGATAAGCGCGAGTTGTAACGCGAGCGGATGTTCGTTGTCAAAAATCCAGAGAGAGAGAGAGGCACCTTCTCGAGAATTGGGATCGCGTGCGCACCGATATCCGTCACCGCGGAAGACGAGCCTAAGCGGGAAAGTCGGAGCGCAGTTTCATGAATAATTGAAGAACGGGGAACATAGGATTATCATAATGCGTGAATGACGCCGGGGGAAATTCTCATCAAGTTGGCGCGACCTACATCCGTTTACGTTGTTATAATCCTTGTATACTACTATTACTTTTGTTATCTGTCGAGGTTAAGCTTGATAGAGAGTAAGACAGAGATTATCTTCGAACGTAAGCTTTTGATAAAACACATTTCTTGGGGAATATTAAGAAAAGGCTGCGTGAGAGAATGTTTTAAGCTGCTAAATATTTAACGTGTGCCCCCCAGCCATAGGTAAATTTCAATAAATTATTATTTAGATAAAAGTACAACGCGTAATTACAATTCATGGAGAGAACGTGCCTTTTATCTCCTTATCGCCGATGAATGTAATTAAATCGATTATTTTATATGTATATATCTATGTCTTCATTATCGAGCTCATTAACTACACCTAAATACGTTATGAAATGAACGTTATTCGGATAAATTATATCGCTGTGCATAAAGATCGATCGGCCTGATTCATTATTTGATTATTTGCTCCATTTCGGAGTGTTATACACGGCTGCGGGGTGATTTAACTTTTAAGCCTAATATATCGTCAGTGTGGCAAACGAGTTTCTTGCACAATTCCGGGGACGATAATTTTGGACCTACGCGAGAATTCCGGACGTTGGTTGGGCGTTATTATTTCATTGAGATAGTTCGTTACGCGAGCTACGGCAAGATTGATGGAAATTAGGACGGGAACCGGTGTTAACCTTGAACTCCAACGAACGCGTTGATCAATCTAGCGAGTCCGTAAATCAGAAACAAAAAAAAGGGGGAGGGGAAGGATTTATGAAGCGAAGCTTGGCAATTGACGTAGCTATCATCTGTCAGCTTGCGTCTACCCTCGACCGATTTCCACGTAAAATAACGACGAAGCATTAGTCGCCAGAAGTTGCGCAACTAAAACATTAACGCGGTGATCTCGCACAATGGCTAGGAAATTGTAGCGGTCCGTGGCAACGTTACGATACACTACGTACTTGGGGCGAATAGATTCCAACAATATTCAGCTCTTCCCTTACGGACGGTCGTAATATCTAATGTTAAACCGGAGTTTAACCGGAGTGAGACCGCGAGCCCAAGTCCTCGGGGATCAGGAGCCAGAAATATACCTGGGACGCTTTGTCAATTCGGATAGGGATGATGAGTGACGAGACGAGGGACAAAGTGGGGCCGCAACGAGATCGGGCCTTTTCGGTTTCACTCGGTATTCTTCGACGTCCCTTCCAGATGTTTCCTTTTGATCCATCCTGGAAACTCGGCGTCTAGGTATTCTTTTACGTCCCATATTAAGCATTTTGCTCTCCGTCTACCTCAAGACTCGCGCAACATCATACTTTGCTCGGGCAATTCGGAGCTACTCCCCCTTGCTTTAGTGAATTCGGAACGACTCTCTTTATACGTTTCTCGAGCTCATGCCTCATTTTTTCCACGTTCGACTTGGATGATGCTTAGCGAGAGCAAAGGCATGTACCGTCGAGTGTGCGGATACGTTTCAAGGATATTGCAGTGACGCGACTCGTGGGTATCGCCAAGTCGATTTATCTGTCGGACTCGGGTCTCGCGACGTTGATGGATGAAGTGCTGTTACGATAATCGGTAAGACTGTTGTTACGTAATGATATCATTCGGCACTCTTGTCATCCGAGAGGATCCGAGCTTGGAGAGGGGGCGAAGTTGAGCGGCCTAAACAAGTGGTTCGTTCATTCCACGCGGACCGAGCGCGTCGATCTGTTCGTGGTCTATCGCGAGCGGATTCTTTTGTGACACTCGATCCAGCTCAACGAGAGAAGGTTCGATAATGATTGTTAGTGTAAACTGAAGAGCTCATTTGTAACGTCAACTAAATTTACCAAACGGAGGATTCATCAGTTTGTTACCGGACGCAACTGCTTAATAAGTGGTGTTAAACAAATAATTATTAACGCGAGACACAGGGCGATA